CCCAGCAGAGAGGGACCTGGGGGTGCTGGTCAACAGCCGGCTGAACATGAGCCAGCAGTGTGCCCAGGTGGCCAAGAAGGCCAACGGCATCCTGGCCTGCATCAGCCATAGTGTGGCCAGCAGGACTAGGGAAGTGATTGTGCCCCTGTACTCGGCCCTGGTGAGGCCGCACCTTGAATCCTGTGTTCAGTTTTGGGCCCCTCACCACAAGAAGGACATTGAGGTGCTGGAGCATGACCAGAGAAGAGCAACAAAGCTGGTGAAGGGTCTGGCAGCCCTTCAACAGAGTGTTGGTGTTGTCAGACATATAGCAATGTTTGGAGAGAGCCATCAAACAGTCAGCAAGCAAGGCAAGGATAGTCCATTGTCTTGAACAGAAAACTTGTCATTACATGACTATGCAAGACTGAACAGGGGTATGCAGTCCTCTTTAACAGGATCTTTGTGGCCTGTTCAGCAGATGTTCCAGGAATCTTGGAAGCTGGAGGTGGCATGCTGCAGAGGCCTTGCACATTCATACTCTTCATAATGTGCAAGTTTTCAGAAGTTGTTTGTTGTGACCATTAACCATTTTTCCATTTCTCTGATTGAATCTGGTAACAGCTCCATGTTTTCAGTGGTCTTTTTTTTTTCCTGTCTTAGCTTCAGCTTAGCTTTCCTTGTCTTTCCAAGGACACTTACTCAGCTTTCCCTGTTGAACTCTCCCACTTCTGTTTAGGTAATTCAAACCACAAAATAGCAGTTGGTCTCTTCATTATTATGCTGGCTTAATCCAAGATTATTTATGCAGTTTGTCATGCCAGCTACAGGCTTCTTGGCATGTGTTGGATTTGACTCTTATGTATATGGTTCACTGTCCTTCCCTTTGTAAGGGAGAAAAAGGTAAATGGGTGTCTCCAGCCTCTTTTCACCTCTTCCTGCTTCAGAATATCATGGCAGTGACTTTTTTTGTGAAGAGCGTGCACTCTTGGGATCTGGACTGGCATGATCAATATTCTTTTACCTCAGACACTAAAACCCTCCTAAATGTTGGAAACACTCAGCCACTTTCTGAATTAATAATTTAAAAAATCCTTTTCCTGCACAGTTTTCCCAAGAGCCTCACACGATTTATTTCAGGTTTTCAGCATCATGCACTCAATTTGCTGGATATCTCATCAGCAATATTAAGGAAAGAGAGAGAACAGTGATGAAGACTGGATGTAATGATATTCTGCATCAGATCCCCATAGATCACAGAAGGAAACAGTGGAGCATCTGGTACAGATTCAGACTGTCTCAGTAAGCAGGAGTTTTCCAAAGAAGAGCAGTGCATGGTATAAATCAGAATTAGTATTTTCTTAACAGAGCAAGAAAAAGCCCTGCTTCAGGACCTTAAGTAAGATCTAGGTGAATTTTAAATCTTCTTTTGGGCATCTCAGATAACCTAGGTCATCTAAAATGGCTCTAGATATTTTTATTTAGGTTCCTGTATTGTTTCCCCATTGAGTTACTAACATTGAGTTTTCCCCTGGGCTTTCCTCTCACCCTTGTGCAGTGCTCTACCACCTGTGGAATGGGGGCTTTCTGGAGACACGTGGAGTGCAGCAGTGGGAACATATCTCACTGTCAGCACAAGAAAAAGCCTGATCCTGCAAGAAAATGTTACCTCCGCCCGTGTGCTAGCTGGAAGACAGGAAATTGGAGCAAGGTAAGTTCATTCAGAGCTGTATCTGAACAGCAAACTTGCTAACTTCAAAAAGTAGGGATCTCTAAATACTTCATTTTAAAAATACTTATTCAGTGAATGCATACATGATTCCCAGTTGACTGTTCAGCACTAATTTACTAATTTCCTGACTAAGTTATTTATGGAAATGCATCTGCTGTGAATTTTGTTCTTCTTGTGCGGGGGGGCGTATGCTCATTAACTCTTGCATCTAGAACTAAAGCATCCTTATTCAATTGAAATCCTAGGGCAATGCTGTGCATATTTTCATGTGGCTTATTTTTGATCTCTGCCTCCAGAGGCTTATCCTAATTTTAAAAAGCAGGTGGCAGTTTAGGAGAGGGAATCGGAATGTTCCTATTCAACCTTGCCAGTGTGTATTCGTCTCTTATGTGACATGGCCTGTTTCCTATTCATGTAACCTCTTAAGTTTCACATTACAAAAACTAAAGAAAAATGTACTAGAGAGAATGTCTGTTATGTCTCGGGTCTTATTTGGTCCTAGTATGTATACAAGCCTGGTCAAGAGACAGAAGAATGTCCAGTGCGTAAGTGGAACACAACAAATTGTGTTTGAGTTCTTTTTTGGTATTTTAAGATGTGTGATGAACACCTGGAATGAGTTTGGTGACTTCTTGAAGTGTGTTACATTTTATCATTGTGCTGTCTTAAACTGGGGCTTCAAACAGTAGCTTATTTTTCAAGACTGAGGAAGAGAAAAACTACAAAATTCTATTTGAAGTAATGTTGGTATAATAAAGAAAAAGATCTCTCAAACTTTCTTAATACGTATTATTTTTGCGGACAATGTTGTTGCCATTGGACTGGAGGGCGGATTCATACCAAGTAGAGTCTGAAGAAAAGGTTAGAGTTAAAAATCTGTGTTATATTGTTGAGCTCTTTGATGTACAATGGATTTGTAAATGAAATGCATGCCTGTTTAGAAAGGCCAGGCAAGGCCAAAGCATTACATAACCACACTTAAGCCTCCAAAATCCATTTTAAGTGATAAATGGACATTCTGCAGTCCTAGTTGCAGTAGGGCGTATTTCCCCTTCACTTTTTCTTCATAAATGTTATTGCTCTTACAACAAGTGGATGATCCTTATGTCACAGAAAGTAGACAGAAATCAGGCTTAATGATAAAATATTACAGGAAACAAATGTTTTAAAGTGTCAGTCCAATTGTGAGGCCAGTTTGAGACACAAGGCTTTTCCTAGGAAATTTCTGTTGTGTTAGCCACCTTTATTTTCCAGCAATTGAACTATACAAGCCTAATTACAATTTTATATATAAAAATGGCTAATTTTTGTTTGCTTTTGCAAGTGGCAATTGTTTTTCTCACTACTTGTTTCAAACATTTTTAAGGCACCTTATCACAGCAAAATGGCTATACTTGCCTGCTAGTGTAGTAGAGCTTTCTGTGTTCCTTTACACTTACCTAATAAAGGTGCTTCAGACTAGATCTTACAGTCTGAGTTAAATACCAAATATAATTTGCATGTATTTTGGGGCTGTGTGTACTGAGTTTCTTGCACAGTCACTTCAGTCCATTGTTTCTATCCAGAAGGACAGAAACTTATGTGAACAAGAGTATGGACTCCCCTTCCATCCATCCTTCAGGTCCCAGGGGAAGTATTATATTCAGGTTCCTTGTTCAACTGAATAATGCTTATTTATGCAAAGAAAAGCATCAGTTGTTACATTGCATCATGGTGGTAAAGATGAAAGCTGATCAGAGGTTATTCAGTGGTGTAAGCAGAATTGGCTTTAATTCCAGATGAAGACAAAATAATTAAATGTGTATTTGTCTGTATTCTTGGGGTAGCAAATTCAGGTCTTCTGCAGCAGCAGGAGAGGTCCTGGGCTTTGGTATGTGGGGCTAGAACCTGGTGCTGCTGCATGGGGCCTTGGACCAAGCTCTGGAGAGAGAGAGGAGACTGTAAGGGCTTGCTTGGCTCACTGGTAGTGCTCAGAGCTGAGAAGTGATTTCACAGGCTTTGAGTGAGGCTCAGGGTGTCTTGCTCTTCTCTCACATTCTCTCATGCCCAGGCTGCTCTTGGGATATGGATCCTCCTGGTGCCATGGAGGAGTGAGGAAGGTGAGAGGGGGAACTGCTACTGTGGGATGAGTCCACCGTCTCCCAGTAGTGTAAGCAGCAACTCAAGTCTGTGGGCTAAGGTGAGGAGCAGTTTTGCCAGCCTGAGCAATCTGCTGCCATGGACACCTACCTCTTCTATGGCTGAATGAGAAATCAGTTCATGCAACTGTGCCTCTTTCCTCCTTCCCTCCCTCAGAAACAACTAAAGAACTGACAATTTCCCTTCATACAGGATTTTCTTTTTGTATTTGTTGCATTACGACTCTTTCATAGGACATTTTTGGACTTGTCTGGGAAGATTTACTAATTAAATATTAATCTGTGTTATTAATGGATGTTCCAGTGAAGAAAGGAAAATATTTATATGGCGTGTTCTGATTTGCTGTAATGAAAACCACAGTTTTTAAGCCTAACAACAGATTTTTTTTTATGGTAAACTGGAAATTTCCTCTGTGAGTCAGGATCCTCAAAGCTCAGGCCTGTCTTCCTCCTCTGTGACTGGGGAAGGGACAGCTGCTCAGCGGAGCATCATTTGGAGGTGTGCCCCTTTCTGTTTTCTGTACAGTGCTCTGCTAACTGCAATGGTGGTTTCAAGACCCGAGATGTTCACTGCATTGATGTTCGTGAGAAGCGACCTCTCAGGCCTTTTCATTGCCAATTACTGGGATATAAACCACAACTCAACGCAAGTTGTAACATGGAGCCTTGCTTGCAGTGGCGCGTGGAGCCCTGGAATGAGGTATTGTTCTTTAACAGAAGCTTTGTGAATGAGCAGTTAGCTGTCAATTAACAGTGACCATTAGATCTCATGCTGTTGAGTGAACTTTTGCTCAAAGCAACTACTACTCAGAAGCTCTGCAAACCTCGTGTATGGTTACAGCAAAAATGATCACAGACATTCATAAGACTTCCAGAATCATTCCTAGGATTGCATGTGATGCACAGGTAGAGCTGTCAATTACTATACCATGAGAGAGAGAAGCAGATGGCATGGAAGATTTGTTTTAGCTGTCCTACTGGATCAATAAATGTGATTCATTCAGACTGATCGCTTTTGCTGCCATTTTAATGTTGTTTTCTCTTTGTTATTAATTTAGAATTTTCCTTTGCACTTTTGGGCTGGAATTTTATGGGGCCAGAGACTGAGGATAGACATAAGATAAATCTGACTTTCAGGGCACTTTGTAGCATAAATCTGTGCCAATGAACTTTTATAGGCAGACAGGCACGTATTTATGTCAGCTAAAGCGTGTGGTCTGATTACATTTCAGTGTTTGCTCCCACTAGAGAAAGCGCCACAACATTTGCAGCACTGTGGACCTGATGCTTTTGGATTTAATGGGAGGTGATCACATTGCTTCCTTTTAGGTCTCGGTAAGGAAGCAATGTCACACCTGCAATAAGGAGGAGACCTTATCCTATGTGTAGTATGCAGGTTTCCTCTCAGAGCAGTCAGCAAGAGTTGAAAAAAAAGAGTAGCTAAAAGATTGTCCTCACTTGCCACTTAAAATATCTTGCAAAACCACTTGTCCAAACCTGTCGGTTGTCTTCATGCTGAAGATATTGGACAGAATTGGATTGAAAAAGTTCATTTATCAGGTGTCAGCTCTGGTCCTCTGCCCATAGGGATGCAATTCCTCATAGGACAGGAACAATGCATTATTCAAAGTATGTCTCATGCCTTTGGCACCTTATTTCATGTCAGAGTATGGAATTTTTGGTGTGTTTCAAGGCTCTACTGCAGACCTAGTGACTAATAGTAAAAAGTCAATTGGTAAGTAACAGTAAACTGATAGAATGTGGACAAAAGACTTTAAAAAATAACTTGGGTCACTGTCTTTGTATGACACTTTTATTGCAAGATAATTTATTGTCTGCATTGGGTAAATTTTAATGTCCCCAACCACCTCATAAAAATGAGATGTTGCATCCCATGAACTTGTAGTGTCTTCAGTAAATGTAGCAGATTAATCTTGCAGACGTGACTTCCAATCTCATTCCTATTGGGGAAGTTACTGTTGCTGGTGCTGCTGCATGAGCAGTTCTGTGTTGCCTACTTATGTTGCCACTTCTGTGCTGTTCTATATTTCTTGCATTAATACATGTCAGGAGCAGCTATATGCCAAGCGTTTTGGACCAATAATGGCTTCTTCCCTTTCTCTTTCCAAGCATACAATGAAATAAATGTCTCAGTGCAGAGCTTTTCTTTATATCTGGCCTGCAAGACTTGGTATGCAGGCTACCCTGAACATCTTTCTAAATCACATAGGTCAGTGACATGCTTCTTGTTACCTTATGGCTCCACATTTCTAAATGAAGAACATTTCCTACTGTCTTTATGGTCTGTTTCTGGGTTCTCATCCATTCCCACCTCATGGGTTTGTGCAACTCTTTTGTTAGTGTTCAAGAACATGTGGTGGCGGCCAGCAAAAGCGACGTATCTACTGCCCAGAAGAAGGCTCCTGTGACTGGACAAAAAGACCTAATGGCATTGCATCATGTAACAGGCAACCTTGTACACAGTGGATTAACCAGACATGGGGCCCGGTAGGATTCAGTTCTTTTTTTTATTTGTTGTCATGAGTTGGCTGTATTTGGTCATATGCACAGCTGGAGCTATGACGAAAGATCTTTTGAAAATATTACTAAACATTTCAGAGCCAGACCATCTCAGTTCCTTCAGGTGACAGGCATTTGTTGCTGAATTATATGTTGTTGGATGGAGCGGGGTTTTTTCCCCTGTTCTAATAAAAAGGAGTTACCATTGATATACTTCTGTTACTCATTTGAAATTTTCCGCTGGCAGAGGCTACTGGGTAGTAAATTCAACCATGTTCAGTTAGATATAGGATAAGGTGACATTTAAAGAGGATGATGGTACAGAGCATCTTTAGAGAGGGAGGGAAAAGCTTGAATTGCTAGTAGAAGTCCCTGATACACACCTAGCTGAACTGTTGTAAGTACAGCCAGGCTGTTCGATCTGTCTGTTTCCAGAGTCTCTCCAGTCATTGTAATGTTTTATTGTTTGAGACTTTTTTTCCTTTTTTGGGGCCAGGGCAGTGGGGTGACCCTTAAAGCAACTTTGTAGAATATTGGACTTGCCCATGAAACAGAAATTCTGAATTTCGACCAATAGCCTTCTACTTGGGCTTCTGGAAATCTAATGGACAAATATGGGATCTATCTTTGGGGAACCTTCCAGTATCTGCAACACATGTTTAGTTATAAAGAAACTGGTATATCTAATGAGGCTTTCCCTTCAGTTCCCTTAATAAACCTATTCATACAGTACAAATAGCAGAAGAGAACATTGAAAGAACACCAAAAGCCAGGAGCCACAAAAAAGAAAATAATGGAGAGTCATTTAACACAGAAAATGTAATGAGTTGTTTTTGACATAAAGCCATTAGATGGGAGATGAATAGAATGTAATGTAGAGTTAGCGAATCTTTAACATTAAATATGGAAGTGAAAATGCATAAAATAAGCAACTGAATACCAAAATGTATAGGAGCTATTTTACTGATTTATTAATCCCATTTATTTTACTTCATTAAAAAGTTGCTGTAAGAGTATCTAAGATCTCTTAATGTACTTCACACCAGTAATACTGTGTCTTATGCATAGAGATATACATTAGAGAGAAGATATTTTGCAGAAAAAGTAGAGGTACTGGTCCTGTGTTCATCTCTTGTGCTTCATTAGCTGGCATTCTATATCTGTTGAAGTATTTATCATGCTGGCCACTATTTATGTGAAGAGAAAACAAATTTAAAATTATGTGGAATTCTCAGATGCTCTGGGATGTCAGAAGAATTAAGTACATTTACAGAAGAGCACAGGAACATGTTTTGAAAATGTTCTTTTTTTTAATGGCCATCTGTTTGCAGCCAGAACAAGCTCTTTTGTGGTCATAAAGAAAACCTAACCACAGAGTAAATTTCACCAAAGAAAAAACATCTCACTGAGCTTTTCTGAAATCTTCAGCTCAATCATTTCTAGACCTAACATTGCAATGGGTTATTCATGTTTAATTTAGATGGTGAGAAAACACAGGAAACAGAAAATGTCAGTGGGCAGTACTAATCTGGATTTCTACTTTATTACTTTGTAGGATTTACATTTCAAATCATCCTCCTCCTTCTTTGTAGAAAACAGTCCTCTCACCCTGGTTACACATTCTAAGATGCTGTATGTGTACTGTTTATCCTTCCAACATATCCTGCCACATCTGGCCACTGTGCACCATGGAGGAGAATGCAATACACAAAGTACTTTAGCATCATGGATTCTGGATCATATGACATTTTTAGCTTTCTGTCACATCACAGCTCAAATATTGACATGTTACACAATTTCCATGTAGAAGACTTTTATATATGTTAAAATTACTCTCTTTCAGTGCACTGTTTCCTGTGGAGGGGGCTTTCAGGAAAGAACTGTGAAGTGCATGAATATAGAAACTAATGAAACTGAAGATGACAGTATGTGTGTGGATAAACCCAAGCCCACAGAGTATCAGAAATGCAATCTGCAAGAATGCAGGAAAAGTACAGGTATGATAATATACCTGCATCAGACAGTTTCCAAGAAGCTCTCCATTTGTGCTGAGATTCTGCAAAGTGGGAGCTGACTCAATTTATCAGCTTGTTGTGATTACTACAGGCTCAGTAACTAGAGGTCAGCCTAACCTGCTGCTGCTCAGCTGCACCATTTGCAGAATCACATTGTCATGCTCTTCAGCCCTATTGGTTTTGTGTTGCCATGATGGGGAATGCAGTTCTCTGAGCGTGCATCCCTAATTTATGATGCCACAACTAAATGCTTGTATTGACCTGTTTTAGGTAACTCACAGGTTACTTCGAGGGATGTGGAAGGACAGGCTGTGAGTCCAAACAGATGCCATTTCTTAAGGCAGATACCCCTATAGGAACCACAAGCTCTGTAGTCTGTGTACTGCAGTATCAAGCAGGTACCCAAGATAAGAACAGCAAAAGCTCAGAGTCCTTCTGGAAGACCCTTCAGAGGCCTTTTGGAGGAGGATTCTTCCCTCTTAGCAAGTCAGCAGTAATAGTCCAATCTGTTAATGAGACAAGAGGTTGACTTCTTAGGGCCACGCAGATCTGGCATTCACCTGAGAGCAATACATCACTCCTTCTGCTCTTCAAAGATCTTTAAGCATGTATTTTGCCCTCGGGTTGAATTGGTCTGCTTATCTCCTGTCCCTCTCATAGTCAGAACGACAGCCTCAGAAAAGTACTACCTACAGAGATTAGTGATAGTTACATCTGTGAGTAAAAGCTCAAGGCACTAGTAAAACATAGGAAGTGCTCTACTGAGTAGAACCACTGGTCCATGCAACCCAATATTGTGTCTCCAGCAATGGCATTAGAAGATGCTACTTAGGGAGAACATGTGAGCTTAGTCCTTTCCTGTGATTAATTTCCATAGTATTCCTCAAGCATTCCCAACTGACATTTTAGGACTATTCAAGGCACCCCTTTTGGTGCCTTTTAGTTTAAATTTATGTAACTTTTCCCATTAATATGTTGCATGCCTTTTTGACCCTGTGATGCTCTCTGCTTCCACCCTCTTCTGTGGCAGCAAGTTACAGAGGTTCACAGCCTGCTGTGGAAAGAAGTGCTTTTATCTCTTTTAAACTACCTTTATACTACTTTCATCAAGTTTCCCTAGATCTAGTGTTGAGGGATTTGCTGAACAACAGCCTTGCATCTGGCTAGTCCACTGCTTTCCTGCTTTTGCAAACCTTGACTCTCCATCCAGCCATCTCTTCTCACAGCTGAGGAACCCCATTTTGTAATATCTAACTAAATCTGACACATCTCAATTTATTAAAGCTACCATAGACCTATCAGCACCATAATACAGACAGTGTCAGTCCCTGGCTTGTTCTGGTGCTGCAGAAATTGAAGCGTAATCAAGCTGAACAGGTAGTTGCACGTACCTTGTCTGCACTCTTCTGCCTGCCCCTGCATGGCTCTGCAGCACACTGACCACTTGTTGCACTTGTCTTAAATGCACTATTACAAGAATGCAAAAGTACCAGACTCACAAATCATTGTTCCTAAACTCTCTCTGGCAGTTCTTAAAAGCAGAAGCATTAAAATGAAACACAGAGATCAGCTATGTCTGATAAAGCCTCACTGAACAATAATAAAAGAGTACAGTATTTTCCAGGACAGGTCATGTGAAGTTTAACAGGACCTGTTCACTTAAAAGTTCCAGGGGGATCAAACTGACCCGAAATACAAAGGAAGAGAAAGCCATCATAAATAAGAGCCATAACAGGCATGACTGTCTGGCATAAAGCAGTTTAAAATTGTAGAAACACTGATAATTTGTCAGCAAATGTGTAGCTAATTCTTCTCATCTTCTCCACCATAGGGCTACCCTGCAGCAAAGACCAACTGTCGGTTCACTTCTGCCAGAGACTGAAAGGCATTGGCAAGTGCTTGCTGCTGTCAATAAAGACTCAGTGCTGCTTCACATGCAGTCAGCCCCGAATTCGTAACAAAGCAAGATACTGGGATCAGCAAGGCCTCAAACAACAAAATTACACTAAATCTAGAAGAAAATCACCTCAAAACCAAGAAAACAACAACCAAGCTGCTCAGCACTAGCTGGTTTTTATCTAGATACTTTGAATAGGGCTTCTGTTTACAGGTTTTGCATTCCTCCTTTTTTTTCTGAACCATCCCACGTAGATGGAAATCTGTGATCAAAACTGGGAAAACACATCGCTTACAGTTATCAGTCCTCATTTACTTCTTCAAATTTTTCTCTATAGTAGTCCAAAATTTGTAACATAATTTGCAATGTGCCAGCACCTAGTACTTCTTAGGCATGTGTAGAGGCTAGAAAAAAGCTTGCAATAATTTTTGGATTTTTTAAAATCAATGTTTTACTTTTTCTTTCTTCCATCTCTTTTCTGAAACTCACTTGAAACAGCAGCACCACTTACTCAAGAGTGCTGAGTGAAGGTGGCTGACAGGGCAGCAGATACAGACCTGTGCTGTGGGCTAGATCCCTCTGTGCTCACTCACTTTTCTGTTTTTAGGAATCAAGGTGAAGTGTCAGTGTTTCTCTAAATTGTTTGCTCACTTCATAAATTAAAAAGCAGAGTTTTATAATAACTGATTATGATATACAGGTTGATTTGAAACATTGGGTTTTTCAAAAGAAAAAAATGTTCATTTAGTACTTGACTGAACCTGTAAAGGATACCTCAGCAATAGCCTGTCCTGGTCAGTTTTCTTCTGCTGCAAATGTCTTGCTCTAACCTGAAAACCCCAACAAATATGGAATGTTATTTTCCCAAATACATTTTAAGCAACATTCCTTGGTACCATGAAAGCAAAGCTGTTTGCATCTGCCACCTCAATAGATAGATTGTAATTCACATCAATATTCAGTGATAGAGCTATCATTTAATCCAGTATCTCCTAGTAGAGTGTAAGCCCACATCCACAGAGTACTCTATCACCTCACTCACAGTAAACTTTTTCGCCAGTGCAAATCCTTGAACATAGTGAGGTTGAGGGCACCCAGGACAGGAGCCTGAGACCCAGAGTATCTGTGTAGGTCTGGACCTCAGGCACTAGCCAAACAGCATATCTGTTTTGCTATTGAAGAAAATGGCAGAACAAACTTTAGGGAGGCCAGGCTGGACTCTGTGAAGCAAAGCTGGGCATTTTCAAAAGAGCTGGACAGAGTATGACATTCAGATTCTATTGAAATTCAGTAGGATTTCAACACCTGGGTTCTTCATGGTCTTTTGAAAAATGTCAGATTTACTCCCCAGCTAACTGACAATTTGAGACTGTAATACAGGGAAATGTCACATCTTATGCAATGTGGAGTGACACACATAGCCATAAATCCAAGTGTCACTATGGTTAAAACACTATGACTAGCAATAGCCCTATTTCTAGACAGACCTTTATGAAAGTTAAAAGAAATATTTGGGCGTTGCTCTAATGTATTAACCTAATGAAGGCCACAAGTCTAACTGCCCTTTCTCATAGGTTTGTGACCTTTGGCTAAGAGCTCACTTCTTAACTTGAAGTCTCTGAGAGTTCAGGATATGCAGCATGGTAAGGATAGATATATTAACCTCTGTGATGGCAATATAACCCAAGTTATAGGTGCTGATAAAACTTAAAATCCACTGTTAAAAATATGGTGCTAGTATAACAGATATGGGGGATAACTTGCAATGGTGCCTGTGCATGCATGTATGTACATAGCATACATACACAGAAAATAATACATGTCTATGGTATTGCTGGACAATGCCAGACATAATGCTTTTTAAGTTTCACAGTGTGCTTATGTTCTTCTGAAGTCCAGAATGGCTACTGACCCTTTCAGCAATAGAAATCTGGGCAGTTTTTATTCCACTGGACACAGAAATATTGAATCATGTGAAGGACTGGAGGTGTCCCATCTGATTCAGGAAGCCTTTGTGCAGGGCTTGGCCTCAGGCTGCATTGTGTAGAGTAGAACCTGTACTGCTACATCCCAGGCAGTTCTCTGATGGCTCGACAACCTAGACTGATGGTTCTAATGTTCCCAGAAGCATCTTCTAGGATTTGAGCAGGACAAAGTTAGATTCTCTTCAGAGTCAGACTCTGTGCTCAGAGGTACCTGCAACATTTTATCCACAGAGGTCAGCAGAGGTGGGCCATCAGGTATGAGGGCTAATGACAAAGGAGCCGACCGAGTGGATATAGTGCAGGTGGGAGGAAAAGTGCATGGGGAGGTTGTGCCTTCCAGTGCTCCATATGGCTAGTGTGGAGTAAAACCATTTCTGGCTTCATTGTTTTCTTCAGGAAGGTGTTATTTCATTTTAAATGGATAAAAGTGAATAAATTATACCATGGACATTAATAAAAATAATCTTTCTACCCAGGGAAGCACAATCATCACTGTTGCTCACCTTGAAACTTTAGGGAAAAGACTGTGACAACAACATGAACTGTTATAACAGAGCAGTGCCACTGCTGTATTTTACATAGGTTCTTACATTGCATTCATCAGCCTAATATCTCCTCTATGGTAATAATATGTGCAGTCATCTGTCCCATCCATTTAGCAAGATTCCTTTCTTATCACATAACTCTTTTAAGTAAAGGTGGATTTATGATCCTGACCCAGATGGTCACTATTCTCAAAACTGAATAGAGTATTAAGTAATCATTATATTATCATATTAGCCTGAGACCCATCAGCTTCAACAGGTTGCTCAGGAAAAAAATGTGTATTTGTCACATTCACTGCTTGTTCTAACATTTCGAGGTTTAAAAAGCAATCTACAATGACATACTTGTTTCAAGCTTCAATAAATGGCATTGTTTGTGTCTGATGTCTCTGATATTTTATGTCTCCAGTACAAGAAGATTCATAAGATGTAATTCCAAAGAAAAAAAACTTTAGAAAGTATCTTTTCTATTCCACAGGAATCCTCATCATTGAGGTATTTTGATGATTGATGTTTCAAAATAAGAGATCATTAAAAAGCGTGAGGGAAAAAGTAGCGGAATAAAGCATGGTGCTAAGTAAAAATATACATTAATAGATTTAGCTATTTCCTATGACATACTGCCATTTCTGGTCCAAGCAGATGTGCCTTAGCTTCTTGGCAGCAGACGTGTGCATGTCTATCGTGTCAGTTGTGGGACATGTTTGTTTTCCTGAACAGTTGTATATAATATGATCATGCCCACTCCTCCATCCCTCACTGCTCCGGAATCTTCTCAATACACAAGTTTTGCAAGTACTACTGATGCTGATGCCCTGAAACTTAATCAAAATAACCTGTTCCTTGACATGCAGCCCAGGTGCACAGGCACCACAGTTAGGCATATATGCTTAGGGAGAAAGCACCATCAGTTTGCACTCAGTTGCCAAAGTCCATCCCATCCATCCATGGGTTCAGCCTCATAACACCCTATGGAAGTTGCAGGAAGTTGCTCCTTCTTGCTTCACAAAGTAACTGTGGATCTCCAGCGCACAAGAGCAGCATCCTGCACAGGTGCTCTACAGGAGAGGAGTGAACTGAGTTGTGAAATGAGTTGAAGCTCCCTCCACTTTGCAGAGGCTCATTAAATGTGCATTGGATGGCCTGCTTGCACAACACACAGCCTGATGAGCAGTTTCTGCTGTCTGCTGTACAGTGTGGCATGGCTCGCTGCACTTTTTTGGCCTGGCCCAGCATGCGGTACCCACCAAAGAAACTGCCTTTTGGCTAACTGGTGATTATCAAAAATGTAAACTGACCTTCAGGTTAGAGAATGATTGTGGACAAATGAGGCACAGTGTGGAAAGCCCTGTTGCGAGCATGAGAAGCAGCAGGTTCAAAACACCATGTAGTGGAAAACAGACAAAACCTGAAGGTCAGTAGAATGTAAAAGCAAAACTCAGGTTATGTAATCCTTTGTAATAAATTGGGAGTTTGCATACAGGATGGTAGCATTTGCTCTCGGCAATGCCCCCCCCTTCGGCAAACCTGAGTGGGTTTGATATGTTTCAGTGTGTCGTCCTGATCCCGGTGGGCATCAGCCTAGCATCAGCTCTAAATGAAATCATCATGCAGGAGAAATATTGTGCTTTTTGCTGTAGTGATTCCCTCCATGATTTTAGTACTGATGGGTCCCTAGAGTGTGGGTGGATTTGAGCAGTCAGTTGTCCATTTTCCTCCATGACTTCTGTAGAAAAGCAGTTGTCAGTCAGTGGCTGTACCAGTTTTATGGATATATATGAGAGCTGCTTGATATTACCCATGCTTAAGCAGAATTAAATGTATGTAATGTAGATGTAGGCATCCAGGGATAGCTACGGGAAGAAGTTATTTACTACATTTCATAAATAATCACAGAGTGTTTGCTAATCATTATATATGCAACCATTATTTCTCCATTCTACAAGTTGTTTTAGGGCACTTTGAGAACGAGAACAGTGCTCAGGAAGACCTTAAATGTGACACGTAGTGACAGCAAACTACATCGCATGTGCCTCAAACTGTCAGGTACCATCTTGCAACTCACTGACGGGGATGTTGAGTGTCTTCCTTCTCTAAGCCTTTCTGCGGCTGCTGGCTGCAAGGGTGAGTGTGGTTTGTGGCACCTAGTGACAGCAACCCTGTTGTGAATGAGTTCTGAGGAAGCCAAAGGCCATCTGAGTGTCCTCACCATCTACCTGGAATAACTTATTTCTCCAGCTGGGTTTCACATAGGGTCTGATCTTGTGCTCTGCAATCCTAGCAGGTTAGGCAGTGAGGTGCACGAGTCTCATTAGTACCTAAATGTGAAAACAGTTGCTTTGTGATATCAAGGCACAATCATTTGCAGGAGATTTCTAGGTGTGCAAACTTCTCTGCCAGCAGGAGCACACTTGCGTGATGATGGGATGAGGCAAGAGAGAAGTAGGGACTTGAGGAGTGACGTTCCAGACAGAGGCACTTAATGCAGCAGCACTGATAGCTTAATTTTGTGAAAACACAGTACACTGGAGACTTAAAAGGGAGAAATTTCAGCTGTGTTGAAGTGAATGTCCTAGATGTCCTTGTTTTCGGTGGGTTATGTATTCCCGTGGAGCACAGGACTTGGTGCCAGACACCTCTCTCTTCACTGGGATGACTGATCTGACAGTGTTTACAGGGACTCATTCTGCTGCAGAATGGTGATTAATAAAATGTATGGTTTATTACTGCTGCCCAGCATGGCAGCCTTCCCAGCCCTTAACGC